TCGCCTGCGCGCTCGGGGCACCGCGGCGTTCCCGGCGGTCGCGAGCTCCCCGACAATTGACAGGAGGATCGCTCGGGTTCTGCGAGGGGTTCTTTGCTCAGTGGGCGACAACCGGCCCAAACCAAAAGCAAGAAAAATTAAAAGCACCAGGGGTGGAAAAAGTAGACCACCCCGGTCTCCGAGTCACTCCTTTCGGAGCGCAGACTCAGCCAGATCGCCGCCGCCGCCGCCTCTGCTGCGCGCCCGGATAGCTCGAGATCGTACCGACTTCCCACCGCGCCTCCGCCACTCCGCTCTTTGCCGGCCCGCATCGCATAAAATATAATTTGAAATTTTAAGATAAATGTCTTTAGTGAACCCATGATACTCATCTGCTGGGAGGCGGGGAGCCGGGCAACCCGAGTGCAAGGATGGGCGGGGGGCGGGAGTGGCCAGCCAATCAGGAGGGCAATGCCACCTCAGGGAATGACGCTCAGGCCAATAGGAAGGGCACTCCATTCCGTCGACGCCAAGGGTCGGGGCTCCGAGAAAGGCGAGCTGGGTGGGAGTCCGGCCAGGCTGGTGTGTGCCCCAGGGAGGGGAGAAGAGGGAGAGAAGTTCCTGCGAAGAACTACGGGAATGTGTGGCTGCAGTTTTCTCTTCTCTGGCCTAGGCTGCCGAGGGAGCGCTGGGCCCTGCTTGTGGATGCCGGACGCTCCTGCAGCGTGGCGCCCGCGGACCCCGACTCTCGCTCCGTCCCCGGCATCCTCACGGGCTGTTCCGTGAGGCCCGTTCCTTCTCTTCTGTATTTCCCCCTTCGCTTTCACTGTTCGCCTTTTTACAATTGCTGAAACCATAATGATAGAATGGAATGTGTAGCCTTTCCGTTTTCTTTTCCTTCCTCTCTCTCTCTCTCTCTCTCCCTCTCTCTCTCTCTCTCTCTCTCTCTCTCTCTCTCTCTTTCTTTTTCTTTCTTTCTTTCTTTTCTTTCCCCGAAGGCTTAGCAAAAGGAAAAAGAAAAGAATGCCGAATCGAGTGCAGGTTTTCTTTTCTTTCTTTTTTTTTATTTCAAGGGGCATAAAACAAACCGCAGGTTTTTCTTTTATCCATCTACATGCAAAATTGGGCTGAAGAAATGGAATTGCATATAAATGACAGCACGTAAAGATTAAAAATGCATGGACGCAGAGTCTTTAAAATTTCACCATGACATATAATATTAATCCGTTTTATGTAAAATTCATACCTGTAACTTAATTTAGGCCATTCAGGCACGGCTTCACATAGCCAGCGTACCCGCTTTAAATGAGGTGATAAGAATACGCGGAGTCTCCTGCTCAGGCAACAAAGCCTTAAAATTCACACTGTGTGTGTAGGAGGGCGGCCATGGGTCCCTACGCTGTAACAAAAGCCTGTTAATTAGGGATGTTTTGTGTTAGATTTCTAACAGAAGAGCTGTCCTTCAAGGGTCCAAAATAAAACTGCACAGGGAACTCTGGCGGGGCGTTGTGTGTACCCTCCAAGAAATAATTGAGCCCTTTAGACGAGAACCGAACATAAGAACTCTCAGTCGCCAGGGAAATGAATTTTGAGCGCTTCCCCAGACGACCCTCCTACCCTGAGGCACACATGGAGATGAATTCATCCACGGTTTTCGCCTTTCACGTCGATTGGTGCTTTCGTTTCCATTGATAATTGGAAGAAAGCTATATGGACATGGTAGCTTGCTGGGTTCCCTCCCTGAGGACCTCCTCTTCATCTGGTCTGCCTCTCTCCACAGCTGAAATACCTGCACCGAGCGAGCAGGTATCTTGTTTAGCCATTTGGGTACTGTAGCACGATGGCACCCGTATCCCCAGAGCACTTTCCTTTTTCCTGATGAAATGAGGAGCAACTTACTGCTGATTTCACAGGTAGATGCAACAGCCTTCCGCTCCCTTAACCCTTACTCACTCTCTAGTAATTCTTTAGAAACAAATGCCACTCTCATATCCTTATTGTGTATATAGTGTTCATATAAATATATCAAGAAAATCAGAATTATAAAACCCCAAAGAAGGACTTTTCTTCTAAAAGGCTTAATCTTATGCATTCTTCATATAAATACACAGAATAGTGTGAATTTAGATCGAAAGTTTGGGGCATGAACCCCAGTGGGTTATCTTGGAGACTGTCTTGTCAGCACAGATGATAATGACAAAAGGATACATGTACAGATGCTTAGTGATACTGATTTTCTGTTATGTAGAGTTTAAAAACTGTTTCCAAATGAAAAGCTCAATTTTTTTCTATTTGATGAAATTCAACTGTGCTAATACAACCGGGACACACTGACATTTTAAAATCTTATTTATCCTAACCTGACTTGAATGGAATTTTAGCTTTTAAATATATGACACAAAAAGCCGGGCGTGGTGGTGCATTGATACTGATTTTCTGTTATGTAGAGTTTAAAAACTGTTTCCAAATGAAAAGCTCAATTTTTTTCTATTTGATGAAATTCAACTGTGCTAATACAACCGGGACACACTGACATTTTAAAATCTTATTTATCCTAACCTGACTTGAATGGAATTTTAGCTTTTAAATATATGACACAAAAAGCCGGGCGTGGTGGTGCATGCCTCTAATCCCAGCACTCAGGAGGCTGAGGTAGGAGGATCGCTGTGAGTTTGAGACCAGCCTGGGCTACATGGTGAGTTCCAGGTCAGTCTCAATTACATAGAGAGACTCTGTCTCAAAAAGCAAAGAAAAAAAAAAGACACAAATAAACAACCATATCCATCTTTCTGGATTTTGTTAAAGCTACTTAGAGCCACACCCTGGTGTGCCACATGCCAGATGCCAAAGTTTCAGGTGTGGTGGAGGCTCCATGTGATTGGTGTCAAGTTAGAAAGGCTGAGGTACTGTAGGGATAGGGAGTTTGGAGGAATTTACCTCAGCCACCCGGGCACTGAGGAAAAACTGTGACCTCCAGATCCTGCCTGCAGAGTACTTATTGTGTTCCTTGTTTTGAAAGTTGGAAGACATTAAAAAATTAAAGTGTTGCACAAAATTTCACATGGTGGGAATCAGGAATGTGATCCTGTGCTTTTTGGCTCCTGGAAGTAGAGAAGTACCAGCAGCTACACAATGTATGTTTTTGTATTCTGAGACATAGGCACTTACGTGACGTCAAAGCTGAGGTCATAAAAGACTCCTAGCACTGTTAGTTCAAAACAGGAATTTACTCAGCAACGGCCAGATTTTGAATAAACTTTGCAAGCTACATTATCTCTACTGTGCAAAGAAGGAAATTTAGTTTGCTGGTGCCTCTTCCTTTTACATTAGAGTGCTTGTTCCCATTTGTAAAAATGAGATGGGCTAGCCCAAAGCTTATTGCCATGGACATGCTAGAGATGCTCGAAGCTTACCTCAAAAGGAACCTGGGATGAAAGATTCATAAACCTGCTTGGGAGCCCTGGTGACCGAGGTCATGTATCTACCCTGCGTCCAGACAAAGGGATCTACAGCTATCTGGGGAGGCGTTCTAAACGCCGAGCAGACCCTTGCTGAACCACAGCACCCAGGCTCTTAGATTTCACAATCGCCCTGTGTTTACACGGAGCAAGGGTATCCAAGCATATTGTGCTATTCAGCCCAAATGCCTTTTTAGGACTTGATACTTCTTTCTCCAAGGCCTGCCAGGAAACAGTGGGTGGGCGCAGACACACAGAAAAATATGTGTTCCCATGCCTTGGTCACTCTGTAGATGTAAGTGGTCACTGAGGGAGGCACGTGCATTCTTTTGGGGCAGAAGAAACGAGTACACACTGCGGCAGCAACATCACTCGCTCCAAAAGAACAAGTTGGGCGATGTGACAGTTCCAGCTCAAGCCTGCTTTATCAGACAGCAGGCATTACAAGCTCACTTGTGCTACCTTTGGATTGCTCATTTAGGTCCCTGGAACACTGATAACCTCTTGGTTTGTTCAGTCTTAGGAAAAAAAGCCTTATAGAAGGGGCTGTTACACATTGAATGTGACGAAGTAGATGTGGCCATCAAAAATGCCTTATTTCAGGAGATTTAAATGGCATTCTATTTAAGAAGCAGTTGACTTTTAAAAGGGCCTTGTTAGACAGATTAAAAAAAAGAAAATGCGAAGAAAGAAGCAGGTTTTTACCTTAGTAGATTAAGGGCATGGTCTTAGA